TTAGATCTCTGCCGTCGGAAAGGCCCAGTGTTTGTTGTATGGACAAATTGAAATGTGAAAAATTTTCACCAAAAGGAAAAAAAAAATTGCAATTACAATTTTTTTTTTTTTTTTGAACTTAAAGGAACGCAATATCATTTGAAAAAGCAGCGGACAACCCATTCCGGCTCTCTCCTCGGAGCTAACTCCGCATTTTAAAGCCTTGTAACTGAGGACAAAATTTATGTAAAATTCTTTAAATGATGTATGTGAATTTTTTTAAAAATAATTTAATAAAAATTTGAGTAAAAAATTAAAATAGATAAGTTAATAAAATTTAATGTGAAAATCAATAATATATAAAAAAGATTATTACAAATATTATTTATAATTTAATTTTAATTGATATTTATTTAATAGTAAAAATTTTATTAATATTTTTATTAGAAATATCTATTAAATATATATATTTATTAAATTTTCTTAAAATTTTATACAATTAATCTATATAATGAGACTTTTTAATTTATTGATTTTAATTTTTATTTAATCATTTTTAATAAGAAATTTCATAAATTTCACCTAAAATATTTTATTAAATTTTTTTCTGCAACAGATAGGATAAAGATAGATCATTTAGAAAAAAAATATATGTATAATTTGCATTTTTAATTGATAAAAGTAACTTTAAAAATCATCACCACATTCTCATGAAAGTGTTTGGTTCACTAAACGTGCCAATACAATATTTTTTTTCTAGAATTCTAATCAAATACTTTCTTATGTATATCAAACATTATAAATATTATTTTGTCAGCAATTTAATTCCTAGTAATCACATTTTCAACAATTACATTTCATTAGAACCATGACATGAAAAAGCACCAAATGCAACCTAAAAATTACAACTTACAAGCAATTTCCTTTTATTATTTGACTGCAACATTTGGACTTAATTACATATGCTTATTTAGGATGATGAAATGAAATTATGTAATTTTTATTGATTTTCATGATTTAATTACATGATTTTACTCACAAATTATTTACACAAAAATCGAATCCCATTCATAAAAAAAATAAGAGATTCTCTTTACTAGTTGAACTAACCTGTAAACTTTGCGCTTCTTTTTGAAAATCCTTGCATTTGATTTGTCATTTAGTTGCCATCCAGAAGAAGAAAATTGTAAAAAAAAAAAAAAATGCTGTCTTAAAGTTCATTTTTCTCCCTATTCAGACCATGCATCTTACAAACATTTTTGTGCGTGCATGGTAAATGTCATTTAAGGAACATCCAATGGATTAAAGCTTATTACTGATCTATTTTGAAAGTTCTAAATTCAAGTCATGAGATGAGTGACATGAAATTTATGAGATTCAAAAACAGGTTTTTTTTTTTTTTTTTTTTTTTATTATGTAACTCAATATCAAACCTAAAAAACCAATTGTTTGTATGATTAATACTAGGCTAGCTAGGAACCAACGAATAACCATCCCATGCACAGAATACACATACTATTCGATATCAGGTTGTTTAATCATAAAGAAGAATTTGATTTAAAACAAGGTGAGAATACCTGCTTTCACATAGCTCAAATTATAGCATGAGTACATGACATTCAACAATATGAACTTTACTTCCTCTTTTCTCGTGAATACTTGAAAAGAGCCTGCCAAATTTATTGTTTGGTACTTCTTCATACCGTAAATATTGTCATGCTTATATAACTTTATATATATATATATATATATATATATAAAGAGGTCATAGATTGAAAATATGAAAAAATATTACAAATGTAAAGATTTAAATTTCAAACCTACCAAATGTTACATTTTAAAGATAATTATATGAATCAATTGAATTAAATTTTAATTTCAATTTGCACAACTTTAATTGTTTCAAATAATATTTAATTTGAAAAATCAAATGATTATCCTTAATTATTATAATTAAAAATTTTTCCTCTATTTTTAAAGTAAGGTTAATTCATGTAAGAATATTTTATAATTAATAAAATATTAAAATTGAATTTAAATTTTCTTAAATTTTGTGTAAAGTCAAAATCTGACACTATTCATGTGATCATGGAAGGACTACTACTTTTAGTTTATTTTCAATAAAGGTTTACACTTGAAAACGAAATTCTACAGCGGTTGAAGTTGAAATATTTGAACCCAGATTTTTTTTTTTTCTTACATTCAAAAAGAGTGGGCAGAAGCGGATCATTTTATTGGAGAAAGGCAGCATTGCTTTCAAAATTTGGAGACGACAAGATGAAAAATCATTACTCCACATTAAATAATTTGGAGGTGCTACCTTTCTTTTCAAACTTAGAAAGACAACCAGGAAAATCCTCCCAAGGTGGCATGCTCATATTGCCGTCTCTATTTGCCCACTGACTGCTAATTCTTTAATATTTACCTTACACTTTCAATGGTTAGAAATGTTAAGACCAGGGAAACAAAGAAAGGTGTGCTTGAATTTGATCATTTCTTTGGCGATCCTTTTGGCTTAATTAAAGATGTTTTCGATTAAATTTCGAAACTTAATTGATTAATTTATTCATAAATCATCCTTATGAATTAACATCTAACAACTATACATGAAATTTAAATCACGACATTTATAATTTCTTTTTTATTACATATTGCTACCTTTTTAGTAAAAATATATATTTTTTAATTAGACTATAATATAATAAACCACAATAAATAATCATCATTATCTTTTAATTTTTTTTTTTTTTTTACTTTCACGTAATCACGTGATTCGATCCTTTCTTTCACATTTTGTGGTTGGTTCCTTTCAACTTTGCCATCTATTTCACGTATATTCATGCTTAATGGAGTATGGTATGCTTCACGTGAACACATACATATATTTTAGTATACAATTTAAGATTATTAATTGAACAAAGACTCCAAAGAATTAATGGATTTTCTCAATTCTAAAATGGAGTGGAGGTATTTGAATGACTTCATTATCAATCGAGAAAATATTATATAAAACGATTACTCTATGTTAGTATATATTTCTCATTTAAATCATGTAATTTAATTCTATTTTTAAAAAAAATTAATAATTTATGACTAAAATTATTAAGGAATCTCTTGAAATAAATGTCTATCATTTAATTGAAATAGATATTGTGTAATAAATGATTAATTTTTTAAAAAGTTACATAATTATGTGAATAATAGTTTCATATATAATCTTTTCTCTTATGAATTAATCCATCTTCCACAACGTTGTATTGTTGATCTAATATTTATTTATTGGCTAACATATTAAAAAGCTCTTAAAATATTTATTTTTTAAAATTAATTTTTATATTTTTATTATACTCAAATAAGTTTTTTTTTTTTTAAGATTTGCATCTAAATAAATATTTATTTTAATAAAAAAAATTGATTTATATTAGGGATTTATTTATATAAAAAATAAAAATTAAGAGTTTATTTGAATAAAATTAAAAGATAGAAATTTATTAAGATGTAAATTAAAGATCAAAATTTTATTTGAATATAATAAAAATATAAAATTTTATTTAAATAAAATATTAAAATTTAGGAAAATTTTAATGATTTTAGCCTTATTTATCCTGAAAAAGGCCCTATTTACACGTGAAAACTCCATCCTAAACCAAGGCAAATTCAAACCAAGCGTCTCGCAGCTTTAGAAATTGAAAGCATTAGTCAATGCTGAAGGCGGGCAAAAGTCAACGTGCATAAATGAGAAAGATTTGTAGGGGCTTTCATGTAATTAAATGTATTTGTATAATTAATTAATTTGCATAATTAGAAATTTGATTGATTCACAATTAAAATTGAGATTGATCTCACTCTCCTTAGAGATGATGGGATAAATAGGAAAGACTTGTAGGGGCTTTCATGTAATTAAATGTATTTGTATAATTAATTAATTAATTTGCATAATTAGAAATTTTTCGTTATATATATATATTTTTTTCTGGTATTGGGTGTATATAAATAATAATAATAATAATTAAATAATTCTCAACACAACATGTCCATCATATTCAATTAATAGACATATCACAAAATTTTAATGATGAATCATTAATTTGAAATTACAAAATACAAGTATTAAAGACTCAAAATTATTATGACATCATAAATGAGATAATTTCTTCTCATTTTCTCATTAAAGCATCAATTAAAACATTTTTGTTTCATTTAATAAATTGATTACGTGATCCTTTTTTATTGGCTATTCTCATAAAAATATCTAGAAAACTTCTCGGTTTTAACTTTTGAAAGGAAGTTTCCCTTGTCCCCCTTTTCCAAAACGGATAGGCCTAATTCTCATTGGTTGTTAAGTTTTACAATATTTATTAATCTTTTTATTTAATATTAAGTAATTTATGTATTAAATTAATTTTAATTAAATATTATTACTTAACTAAATTAATTATACATTTTTTATGTATGTAAAAATTTTCTTATAACTTTTGTTTATTAAAATTATAAACTTATATTTTTATAAAAAAATTTTAAACATATAATTTCAGTGACATACTAAACAATATTTACATAATAAACTAACACTTACAATTTTAAAATTAAAATTTTAATATTTAATTTTTCAATATTGAATTTGTTCTCTTTTATTTTTTATTTTTATTCTTAATATATATATTATATTATAAAAAATTGTACTCCTAATTTTATGTAATTGATTATAATGTATGTAAAAAAATTAATAAAACGACGAAAAAATCTTGAGAGGAGGTGGTGCCCAATTTAATCGATGGTTTTAAAGGTACGATCACAAAGGAGCATTGAAACGGAGAATTTGGTATAGATTAAGACTTGAATTTTATTGCATTTTTCATAAATGTAATTGAATTTATTATATTATCAATTAAATCTAAAAATAAATTTTAATGACATTTATTTAATATAAATTTTTTATTAAAATTTTTTAATTACGGTTATAATAATTTTTTAAATTACAATTACAATAATTATTATCATTTTTTTTATTTTATCAACATTAATTTTGCTGTATTAAATGTGGCCTGAGACGGAAAAATGAGCCTAAAATGAGAAAAATGACAAAGGGTTCCATTAAATAGGGGCAAAATTGTCCAAAAAAGTTTTCATCGGATGTTCTTAAAGACTTGTAGGGCAGAAATTCCCCGTGTAGTAAGACAAACATTCGAAACGAGTAAGAACAGCAATGGGTTCCATGTAAGAGAAAGAATCCACACAAAAAAAAAAAAAAAAAGGAAAGGCGAGAAGAGCGAGCTAGAAAGAGATTGGGGCTTTGAAGAATGTTTCGCGTGTCAGTGTGTGAGCAAGAAGAGATAGAGCATCTATCAAGAGAGAGTAGCCATTACAGTCTATCGACTGGGATACTTCCTTCGCTTGGAGCCAGAAGTAACCGTAGAGTCAAGCTCAGGAGATTCATTGTTTCTCCTTATGATCGTCGTTACAGGTGAATAAAACAAAGGGTTGTTTTTCTTGTCTTGTTTTCGAACTCTGGTTTCTTCTTTTTTGTTTCTTAATGCTGACTTAATGTCTATTATTACGGGACCATGGTCATCACTTTTTTTTCTTGTTTTTTTTTTTTTAATGCTGACTTAAGTGTCTATTATTGGGGGATCATGGTCATCAATGTGTATGCTAGATTCCTTTCTTTTCAACCAGGAGGGTATTGGGAAAATCCGGCATTGAATCTCGTCAGCCGTGTTTTAGAAAAGACAGTAAAAAATTGTCCTTTTTTGCATTCTTTACTGTTAACTCGTTATTTACTTCTGTTAGCAGTTTTTCTTTGCCGAGAAAAGCAAAAATAGTTTTCTGTTTACAATATTCCATATGACTAAGTTTGTTCACATTAATGGCATTCTTTGAGATTGCAATAGTTTGTTCCTTCCCGATAGTCATTTTTCTCTATTTTTATTCCCTTTTGGCATTTGACCTTTTGTTTCTGTGTTCTTGTTGCCATTTCTTTTTCTTTTTTTTTATCATTATATTCTTATTATTTTTTTGTTATTTATATTAGCTTTTGTTATACTTGTTGGGGTTTATGGAAAAAGATTAGTCTGAAATCAGAATATTTTCAGGTGTTTTGGTTAAATGATTGAAAATATTACTGGTATTACTTTCACTACTTTGTTCTGTTAATTTGTTCTGTATTTTATTATTACCCTTTATTTTAAGATCTTCAGTTTGATTCTGTGATGAATAGCTTTATCATTATAAAGCAATATTAAAACAATTATTTCTGCTTAAAAGTGTTGTTTGTTCTTTGCATGTGTTTTAGAATGATGGATTTATAGTATTCAAAAAGTATGTATCGAGTGGTGTCTTTTTGTTTTTGATTCTTGTTAGAAAGTGTTTGTCGAATTGTCTTAACTCATACTAATTACTAAAGCAGTTCTTGGTTGCAGGCCTGAGAATCTGAGGGTTGACTCCTGTGGAAACTTACTTTTAAGTTTTTGTAGTATATATTTTTGCCTTTACTACCTCTTCCTTCAGTTGCCGGTTTTAAGAAATTTTCTTTTTTTTTTTTCCAAAATATGATTTTAATATCAAATTTGAGGGGCTTGACGTGTTGAACTCTTTAGAAACTGTAGTTCTTTTACTTCTGGGGTGGGTTTTTTTTTTTCAGTTAGTTCCAATCTCATCCATTACTTGCAGTTTGAGTTGTTTTTAATTGGTTGATGCCCATGATGGAGAGAACTTGAGTGGATTTGAAAGGTTTTATGTGATTCTAAGTTCACAGAAGGAATAAATATTGACTGAATTTATACAAGTAAATTGATTCTTGCAGGGTATGGGAGACTTTTCTGGTTATTCTGGTCCTCTATACTGCTTGGGTATCACCATTTGAGTTTGGATTCCTTAAAAAACCGGAGTCACCACTTTCCATTACTGACAATGTTGTTAATGGATTCTTCGCCCTGGATATTGTTCTCACCTTCTTTATTGCATACCTTGATAAAACTACCTATCTACTCATTGATGATCCGAAGAAGATCGCTTGGAAGTATGGCAGTTCCTGGTTGGCTTTTGACATTATATCAACGATACCATCCGAACTTGCTCAGAAGATCTTCCCTAAGCCAATCCGCTCATATGGCTTATTCAACATGCTCCGCCTTTGGCGTCTCCGCAGAGTTAGTGCCTTGTTTTCGAGGTACATGAGTTTTTTCGTTCATCAGCTAACTTTCTAACTTAGATAATTGTTGAAATTTGTTTATTGCCTATTGTTTGCTTTCAACAGATTGGAGAAAGACAAGAACTACAACTACTTTTGGGTTCGATGTGCAAAACTTATTTGTGTGAGTATAACAAAAAAAGAGATGTGACAATTTACCTGAATTTTTTTTCCTAGTAATGCAGCATTCATGAAACTGGATGGTTTTTGTAGGTTACAATTTTTGCTGTTCATTGTGCCGGATGCTTCTATTATCTTATTGCAGCACAATATCATGATCTTGGAAGAACATGGATTGGAGCATCCCTGGGAGACAATTTTCTTGAACAGAGCTTGTCGATTCGATATGTGACATCAATGTACTGGTCTATCACTACACTGACTACTGTTGGCTATGGGGATCTGCATCCTGTGAATACTAGGGAGATGATATTTGACATTTTCTACATGCTCTTCAACCTCGGATTGACAGCATATTTGATTGGCAACATGACAAACTTGGTTGTCCATGGAACCAGCCGAACTAGAAGATTTGTGAGTGAATTCTTATTTATCAGGCTAATCAACTAGCTTTGACATTATTTTCGGGTATGGGGTAGGGAGGATATTCATCTTTGATAATCTTTCCTTGTTTGTGTTTTTGACTCTTAGAGGGATACCATTCAAGCTGCTTCAAGTTTTGCTCAAAGAAACCAATTGCCTCCTGGCCTACAAGATCAGATGCTTGCACATTTATGCCTGAAGTTCAGGACAGATTCAGAGGGGCTGCAGCAGCAAGAGATTCTTGATTCCCTTCCTAAAGCCATCCGATCAAGCATTTCACATTATCTTTTCTACTCTCTTATGGATAAGGTGTACTTGTTTCGTGGGGTTTCTAATGACTTGCTTTTTCAGCTGGTAATCCACTGGAAACATGCTATACTTTTGTTCTAAATTCTATTCTTTAGTTATGTGGAATCTTTATATATCTTTGTGCATAAATGTCTAAGGTCTCAGAGATGAAAGCTGAATATTTTCCTCCAAAAGAAGACGTCATCCTGCAGAATGAAGCACCTACAGATTTCTACATCCTTGTCAGTGGCGCTGTGGTAAAAACACTTTCTTGTTCAAACTTCTGGTTGTACAATGAATGATTCATGTCAAATTTTACTATCAAGATCCTGTAAGTTACTTGCCGTTGATTGCTGTTGTCTGTTATGTGATTTAATTTAAGCTTTTTCTTTAAAATAGTTCCTTATGTTTTGTATTTCTCAGGATTTATTGGTTCTCAAAAATGGAGTTGAACAGGTAAGTTACACCAAGAAAACAGTAGCCTTATCAGTCAATAATCATAAATGGATGCTAACTGAATTAAATTTCACCTGGTATCAGGTTGTTGGAGAGGCAAAAACAGGTGATCTCTGTGGTGAGATAGGAGTACTTTGCTATAGGCCACAGCTCTTTACAGTACGTACAAAACGCTTGTGCCAACTACTACGGCTAAACCGTACTACATTCCTCAATATTATTCAGGCCAATGTTGGAGATGGGACCATAATCATGAATAATCTCCTTCAGGTATACATGCTTTACTTAATGATATAACCTAGTGACTAATATAATCAATCAAAATCCTTGTTTATTGCAGTCTATGCAGTAAATTATCAAAAGATGTTTGCATTATATATTTATAGATAGACAATTATGATAGGCAGAAGAAATCCCCCAAAATTGTGGGAATAAATTTTTACCTATGCTTGGAATTCTTTCTTGGGACAGCATTTGAAAGACATGAATGACACTATCATGGAAGGAGTTTTAATGGAGACAGAGAACATGCTAGCTCAAGGGAGAATGGACCTACCTCTCAATCTTTGCTTTGCCACACTCAGGGAAGATGACTTGTTGTTGCATCAGCTATTGAAACGGGGGCTTGATCCTAATGAGTCAGACAACAATGGAAGAACAGCCCTGGTTTGTGAAATTCTTTACCTTTTGATCTGGTCAGGACCCCGAGTTCTTAGGAAGGTGGTGCTAATCTTTAACTTTTTTATGTTTTTGTTATGTATAAAATTAGCATATAGCCGCATCAAAAGGAAGTGAGAACTGCATTCTTCTCTTACTGGATTATGGTGCAGATCCTAACTGTAAAGGTATTCTCCAGGCCTTTTTGTTTAAAACGGTTGATCTTGATTTTTTTTCCTTCACGCAATTCTAGCAGTTTTTGGTTCATTAGTCCTACAGGTGCTATTGATATCATATATCATATATTGTATCTGAGATATCTTAAATACCTGAGTCCCTCCCCATGCATAGTTCAACACATAAAAATGAATGGACAATTCTTTCTTTGGATCTAAATGATCAAATATTATCATATAGGGAAATTAGAACCTTTAAGTTACCTTTCAAGTATTTCTTAAAATTTCCACATTAGCTATCAAGAAAAGTGATGTATTTATAAAATGTTTGACCACATATTTTTATTCATGCTTTAAACCATTTTGACTCCCTTCTGTGAAATCATTGCATGCACACCAATTATTTGTCAATTTATATATGCAAATGTATGTATGTATGTATGTATGTATGTATGTAATGCTCTTCTATTTTGAAGCTCTAGTATTCCATAAGTCTAATGTTTTTTAAGCATTTGATTTTTCTGGATTTTGTATGATTCCCTTGTTTATGTAATTACCTTTTCACTCTTTAAATTCACAGATGAAAGACTGAACAAAAGTTTTACTTTTCTTTATATTGTCTGCTAGAGATACTTTTTCTTCTACCCTGTTTGCTCTTCCGGTTTCAATATTGGCCTGCAACTCTTTGATATCATCCTCAATTCTTTAGTCAATTATTTTCTTAATATGAAGTCAAAATCATGTTAATATATATTTGTTGACCTGTTTTACAACAAGTCCATGCTTATGAGTTTATGGATGTGTGCATTTATGTTCCATATTTCATATAATTTTGCACTTATCATTGGATGAGACAAAATACTTTCATTTATTTGGTTCAAAACTTTAAGAACCTCATCGACCGTTCTTTTTATAATCCCACAGCAGGAAAGCTTGGAGAAATATTTACAATTCAACTAATTAATTTACTTTATATTATGCAGACTCAGATGGAATTGTACCTCTGTGGGTGGCAATGTTAGCTGGTCATGATAAAGTGGCCAAACTGCTAAAAGAAAACGGGGCAAACATCAATGCTGGAGATGTAGGTCACTATGCCTGCACTGCTGCTGAGCAGAATAAATTAAACTTGCTCATGAAAATTGTAAGTTATGGGGGCGATGTCACACGTTCTAGGCACAATGGTTACACTGCTCTTCATATTGCAGTTTGCGAAGGCAACATTGAAATAGTCAACTTCCTTTTGGATCAAGGCGCTGACATTGACAAGCCTGATGTCCATGGTTGGACCCCATGGGATCTAGCTGAGCAACAAGGACACGAAGAAATAAAGATGATATTTGAATCAAGTAAAGAGATGAAAATTCAATCTATCATGTCTATTCCGGAGAAGCAGGAGACACGCTACCTTGGGAGGTTTACAAGTGAGCCAGTTATCCGTCCTGCAGTCCCGGATGGTACAGATGGATCCTGGAGCCAATCCCGTCCAAGACGCACAACTAGTAACTTCCACAACTCGCTATTTGGGATAATGTCAGCTGCACACCATGTGAAGAAAGATATACTACTTTCAATTCATCAACCCAAGGGTGTCAAAGATTCTGTTGTTAACTCTGCTAGAGTGGTAATTAGTTGCCCCGAAAAAGGAGAAACCACAGGAAAGCTTGTTCTCCTTCCAGGGAGCTTTCAGGAGTTACTTCACATTGGTGCTAAGAAATTTGGGATCTCTGCTGCTAAAGTGGTGACCAAAGAAGGAGCTGAAATTGATGATATTGAGGTGATTAGAGATGGTGACCATCTTGTTTTTGTTAGTGATGGTCAAATACAACAAGAAACTAACTGCCGAAGCACCCAATGTAATGGGTTTTCTTAGAGCATAGGCTAATAAATAGCTACATAGTTTCCGTTTTATTAACTTCAAGATTAACGACTTAATGATACATCCCACTTTCACGGTCAACCTCTTTCGAATGAACCTGCAATATCAGCACAATAGCTCTCCAAGCTTAATATAGTACATCCATAGTAAGAAAGATTGGTAAAATTTTCAAGGAAATCTTTACTCGACCATGCTTGTCATCGGTGAAGCTTCTTGATCTAAGCTTCAATTCTCCTCTGCTAGTGGTCAGCTCATCAACTATCTCTTCCCGTACAGTTCTACTTCACTGTTTTCATCCACTGAATGATTTTGTCCCTGCTCCAGCTGATACATTAATCATTACTTAAGTTAAACATACCACACCAGCTATAGCCTACTAAGGGTTTGTTCTAAAATGAATATTGGCTGTATAGTTCCTATTGAATCAATTAAGCAATTTCAGTTCCTAACTAGGAGGAACGAGTGAACTCCTGCATTTAGCCAATGATTTCCAAGTCAAAATATGCTCTGCGAACTGCGATAAAGCAAGTGTAGTAAATGAGAGATGGTTCAGTTCAAATCTAAAAACTTTTACAAAAACTTACAAATTAACCAAGACAACCAGAATTACATATGATTGTATAAACAAAAGGAATGCCTTCCTTCTGCAAAACTGTATAAATAAGAGTACATTATAACCGTTGGCTCATCAACTCCTAAAATCAACAGATATTGGCCTCCGAATATAGAGTGTATGATGCATCATATGGAAGTCGAAGTTAGAGTTTCCACGGTGCTCAAGTTTCCATCTGAGAGGAAATATATAGCCTTAAAAGATACAAAAAGACCAAATTTTGGAAGAAATGAAATATGTCGGGAAGACCAACCTGTTTCTTTGCTAAGTTGGGCTCCAAAGCCCATAGGCAATAACAGGAGGAGCAGAAGCGAAAAACATATAGGTAGTTGGTGCCAATATCCTGAAACGAAAGGCATTATGATTGTATTTGAAAATGTAAAGCCTAAAGAAACAGGGAAGATAGTAAAAAAGAAATATGAGGAAGAAAACCTGAGGCTAGTACAAAATATTGCACCCTAGTCTTGCTTATAGCATGATTTTCTTCCTTTGAAATCATGAAGAACCCCCTTTGAATGGACTCCTTTTATTGTCCATTGCAGAATGAATAGGTTATTAGTGATTATTATTTGTAGTCGCTAAACAATTTTGAGGTAAAAAAAAAAAAGGAAGAAAAAAAGACCAGGAAACTTGAATAGATGAAAGGTCCAAGAATACAAAAAATGTGCCTGGATATTACGCGAAATTTGGCAGTTTTTTTAACAATGGGGAAAGGCTTTTGAAGCTCTTAAGCTTGTTGATTTAAAATGCTAATTAAAGACATTTTTAAAAAAAATGCTGTGCTAAATGGAAAAAAAAATTTGATTAAAAGGGAATGGTTTTCCTGGTAATTCAGTAGAGCAGGTGGCATTGCAGATCAGCCGGGTCCCTAATAGGCATATTGAAACCGAACCGGTTGTTATTCAGAAATGGCCACGGGAACCACTGATCTGTTCATTGGAGTGCACAGCAGGCCACTGTTTCCGTGGTTCACCTACCTTTTTTTTTTGTCCTTTTTTTTAAGAGAGCAGAATTTAACTAATATTGCATAGACGACTTTGAAATAATATGGAGATGTCCAGCTTGCATTCAGCCCTCCATTATATCCATCAACAATGTATTATATACTACACGGTGCATTCTGTTCCCTAATAAATCAAATAGGTGATTTTAGAGACAAATGACAGCACTCTCCCCCCGGGTCCATTGACAAAGTAGCCGCAAATTTTAAACTTCTGTATCCTGAATAATTTGAAAGACATTGAACACGTCTCATGTTTCATTCTTAATCCATCACTACAATAGCTTCATCATTTTCAAGCGTCCTTCATGTTCCGGATCAAGTTTTGGTGGGGTATAAGAACCATGAAGGTCCTCTACTATGTACTCCTGCAAAAGACCAAAGTGAGATCTAATCAGTTTAATCAGTCATGATAGGAATAAAATTACAATTATAAGACTAGTTCTCTCTATGTTACCTTAGTAAGCTCCCTCTTAGTAAGAATGTGGTAGTGTTTCTGCCAGATTCGCTGAATTGCCATTGTGACAGCAAGGAAACCATAAGCTATCCCCAGAATGGCAAAGATAACAACAAAAACCACCACCAGTGCCAAGCACGCTTCCATAGATGCGGGAAAGCAATCCAAGATGCCCCATCCATAACAGCAATTCTGACATCCAGCCATACGTGGGTCATTGCTATTGAGGAAGGAGCAATGCAATATGAGCCCAAAAAACCCAAGCAACACGAAGAAGGCAAGCACCCCTATTAAAACATAGAAAACATGGTGGGTTTATCATGTTACTACAACTGAAATTTGCATATACTACAAAAATCAAGCATTCAGCACTATCAATGCACAAAGGAATATTTGACCAGGATATGGTTCCTACAGTAAATATTTTTATACAACAGAAAAAAAATGCAGAAAATCAGGGAAGCTTACCTATGCAATAATAAAATGGTATAGGATGTTTTGACAGGATCCGATCCCAACCATCACTGAATGATTTCCGAAAAGCCCCATCTTTGTCCATAACATATGCAAAGCCTCCCATTGCAGCAATTACCTGAAGAACAGATAAATTCATTATAAGATGATAATCTCAAAGCAATTAATGAGGATGAATCAATCAGATGAGTTCAAGTTCTCAATCTTTCTGACTTATGAATAACTGATAACTTGGATAAAAGAAGGTTTTCAAAGATTATCGGCCTCTTTCACCCTCCAAGGCCCTATCTTGTGTTGATTTTATTTTCCTTTTCCTTTTATGGACGGTCGATAGGAAGGCAAAAGTATGAAACTTGAGGGGTTAAGGTATTTTGACAGAGTTCCCTTTACAAAGTGTTGGTAGAAAGAAGTCTGATCCAAGTATGGTATTATGAAAAATAGATAGATTAAGGTATTGGGAAAAAGGATTGCAAAGTAACCCCGCTTAGAAAGAGGCTTGATACTTTTTGCTTCTCTTTTACATTACAAGGAAATGCAATAGCCACACTACTTTAACCAATAGTACAGAATAACAGACAAAAGATCAAAATGTCACTCAAAATCAAATTAGAGATAGAGCTTTGAATAGAGAATTCTCAAAAAAATGGTAAAATGAAAATTTTCACCATTAACTTTTCTTTTTGATTACTTACAAATGAATAACGACCATATTGCATCTAGATAATTACTTCAGGGCTGAGGCAACAAAAAATACTACTTATTATGGTCCCAAAGATCGATTTAACAGAAATGAAAAGAAATGTTTCAAAACTATCTGAACACTTGTGCTAAAATGAGGCTTCTTGAATGATCAACACCACATAAAAGTCAAAGGAATAAAAAGTTGCAGGGTCTTCAGCCAGTAGGTGCCACCTTAACCCAACAAGTAATCACCACATAAACATATCAAAATTAGCAATAAAAACAGTTGAATGTGAAGAATAAGATGTTGTTAATTAACAGGCACGTGGTAACCTTATAAGCCTGTGGAATGTACTGGTACAAAATTAAGAAGACTTACAGTTTGTACGGCCAAAAACACAAGAAAGACATCTCTTGCTACGAAAAGTCTGAATTTTATTTTACGCCAAGAGTTGTCCTCAAACAATTCAACTCGAAGGTGAAACTGAGACTTGCAAGTCGTGCAATGGGAGAAAGCAAATCCTTCCTATAATGGGAGCCCCACGTTATATCAATTATCAAGTGCTAACACATAACTTTCACACAAACATAGAGAACTTAGCCTTCCCTTCACATTCAGTTACAGAAACACGATTGATTTACCTTTACCGAACGCCAATGATCAAGGCAAGCACGGTGAACAAACTGCTGGGTTCCTTTGCACATGCATGGAGATATCAGTTCATCATCTATAAAAACCAAACAAGCATTAGGCCAAGGTTTACATGTCCCAAAAAAAATAATTGTACAAACTGGTTTCATGCCTTGATTTAGTACAATCACAATCACTCGACATAATTTAAGCTAAAAACCTTAAATTTACCTTCTTCGCCATCGCACTCAAGGCAGATGCGACAACAAGGAGTAGAAGCATTTTCAATATCTTCACTCCTAATCTCACTCGAACTAGCCGGCGAAGACGAATCGGTCTGGTTGTCTAACAGAGGATCAGAGTCACTAGGGTTTCTTGCACCTACTGGCTCTAGCTGCAATTCCCCCGTCATTGATTAAAAAAAGAAGCCTAGCCAAATATAAATTACCAGAATTTAGCAATCACGAATCGATCATAAAAATCAGATGCTTCAATTCACAAGAAAAAAAAAAAAAAACGATCCTTGGAGTCAATGGAAAGTAGAGAATTTTGGGAAGAAAAAAGTTTGGTTTTGATTCGAAGCAACTGAGTTGAAACGGTGGAATTATGGTGGAAAATTACATTGATTAAAAAAATTGAGATTTAAGTAAGTACCTGGAGTGAGAGGAAATTGAGAGAGAGAGAGAGTATAGGTAGACCTTTCTTTTGGGTTTTGGTTTCGTCGGGACAGATTTGATACATTGGGAGTTGGATTTATAAAGGGTGGCTCGCGCGCATGGATTTCTGCCTGCTTTTATTTAGATAAAATAATTTGTGTATTAATATCGCCTAAAGTATTAAAAATTTTTGTATTGATATAAAATATAAAATATATTTTTTTATTTTATTAAAATTTTAAATCATTTTTTTTATATTTTTTTATTTATACAGTTTGATATTACTACCCTACTTTTGTTTTTATTGTTATTATATAGTAAATGGTAGACTAATGGGTGCTGATATGGGCAATTTTGGGCCCAACCAAAATTCCTTTTTGGGCCACAATTTTTTTTTTTTTTAAACCTACTAAATAAAACAAGAAACTTTCTTTTGATTTTTTTTTTTTATAGAAAAGATGAAAATGAATAAAGAAGAAGATTTTATTAATTCAATATAATTTTATAGAGACGAATGACGATGACTATAAAGCATCAATTCTCTTATTTTATGAATATTATGACATTGGAATTATATTTCATAATCGATACTAGTAAAGTTATCATAAGAATTTGATTCCAATTCAAAATAAAGAAAATATTATGTGATTTTTAATTAATTTTTTGAGTATTTATAGAATCAAAGAGTTTTAATTATTTTTTGGTTAGAAACTCAATTAAGAATGAAATAGTAATAGGATAAAAAAAAAATAGTAAATGATTAGATAGCTACAATAATTTAAAAGATTTGGTTAGTATGATGATTAATGCTTGTGCCTTACCATTGCATTTTCAAAGAGTTCTAAATTACGAAAAGTGGTCCTATCTTATCTCCGTGCATGTGCTTGGTGTTTTCACCTTTTTGAAGTCGTCCGGTGTCTTCCCGTTAGTCTTTGGACATACGTTGGAAATATTTGATCGAAAAAATAGATAAAATATGAGAATGGCTATTTGCACCTCAATAATTATTTAATATATTTTTATTTTTTGTTTAATACACCTTACATTTAAAATATAAATTTACCACAAACTTAAATATTTCATCTCCATTTCTCTTACGCTTCATCTTTTATTTATGTACCCAATTGGTTTTAAATTCTAATCAAATCAGATTCAAAGTAAATTTCACTCATTTAAAGTTAAAAAGTATAAAATTATAGATAAATTATTTATTTATTTTACTTTTTTATTTGATTTTGTATTTAATTTCATAAAATTTTATGTTGAAATATTTAAGTGCAATTCGAAAATAAAATTTAGAAACTTTTTAAAGTTTTTTCAAAACAAATATCCGAAAAACTTTAAAAGCTTTCAAAATTTTAAGTTTTTTGGAAATGGATATTCATAACTTTTTAAAAATTTTTAAATGAATTTTTAGAAGTTTTTAAAGTTTTTTGGACATCTGTTTCAGAAAACTTTTAAAAACTTATGGAAATGAATTTTTTGAAATTCTTGTTACAAATTTTGATGACAAATTGATTTTTAGATGAAAAGAAAAAGCACGTTTATGGGAATGAGAAGAAAAGAACAGAACAAGAAGAAAGGAACAAGAAGAAAGAAGAAGAAATAATGAAGGAAGAAGCTGAGAAGGAACTAGGAAGAATGAATATTTTTAGGAAGGAGACAAAAATGTAATTGATTAATGGATATTTGAGTAATTTTATTAAAGGTTAATTTTATAATAAAATTTTTGAGATGTATTAAGAAGGAGAGGTGTCAAGAGTTGCTCTCATCAATTATTTGATACATTGTTGTGAAGTTTTGCAATTTTAATACGGATTAAAAAAATAATAAATAAATCTTTTATAATTAATTTTTATTTTTTATATATCTTAAAAAATATGTATTATTTATTAATTTTTTGTGAAATTAAAAACTTTACCTTTAGATAGTTTTTCAAATAAATATATTAAGAGTTAATGTTATAAATATTACTTAAATTATAGTAAAATTTTCAATGTAATACTACAATTGTAAAAATATATAATGTAATACTTAAATAATGAATCTATTAATTATTATTAGTGTCTAATCCAAAATAATTTTTTTGTGTTTACTTATAATACATATAAAAATCTATCGACAAATTTATTAATTTTATAGATAAAAAAGGTGTCAATGAGAAAATTTCGAGGTATCTAGTGAAAATTTTTCTTTAATTTTTTTTTATTTTTCAAATTTTGATGGTAAAATTTTTAAAGTATCCAGTAAAAGTTTTTCCTTCAAATTATTTTATTTTTAAAATTTTAGAAGTGTTCAAAGACAACCTAGAGGAAAGGTACCTATTGCCATTACCTAATTTGTTATTTGGATGATTGTTTGTCTATTATAGAGGTGATAAGGATTAGATTTAATTTGAATTTTTTAGATAATGTATAGAATTAGGAAATTTTAAGATTTGCATGAACCTAATATTTATATATATATATATATTTAATAATTAAACTTAATATGAATCGATAAAAAAAAATTGATCTAAATTGAACTAAATACTATGATTATAAACTAATTTTTTTATCTCCTAATTATGTGTCATCATGTAGTTATATTAAGAGTTAGTACCATATTAATTAAAATATCATAATTCAAGTATGTATTAATATTTCAAAATTTAAATATCACATTAAATATTTAGGGGTTGTTTGGTATTGTAGTATGTTTTATGTTTTTGAAAATTTTGTTTTGTTTTATGTTCGCTTTATTTTTAATTTATTGAATTTGAAAACATATTCGGATAAAATATTTTTGTTTTAGAAATGTGAAAATAAAAACAGAGAAAGTGGTTAAAGTTTTTAGGTTCCATTTTTTGTTAATAATATATTAATATTAATATTAATATAATAATATATTAATATATTATTAATAAATATTATATTATTATATAATATTATTAATATAATAAATATAACAATATTTATTAATATTATTTATTAATATAATATTTATATAATAAAATATTATTTTATTAATATAATAATTATAATGTCACTGTAGCGATTTAATTATAATGTTTGTAAACAATATTCGTGCATTTATTAATAAATAATATATTATATGAATAATATATTGTTATATAATATTATTAATATAATAAATATAACAATATTTATTTATATTATTTATATAATAAAAATATTATTTTATTAATATAATAATTATAACATCGTGTAGCGGTTCAATTATAATTTTTGTAAACAATATCCGTGCGGTAACAATGCCAAATTATTTTCAAAAATTTGAAAACACTATTTTTTGTTTTTAACAATTTCCAAAACTTTGTTTTTGGTTTTTAAAAACAGAAAACAAAAACAACTTCTTAAACTTGTTTTTGTTTTCAATTTTTAAAAACGCTAAAAATAAAAACAAAAAACAAAAAATGGAAATAAAAACAAACAATCCCTTAATTAATAAATTCAAAATTTAAATATCACATTAAATATTGAATTATAATTTAAACTAGGTTATAACTCATGGATGCACACGAAATAATTTTACTTATTTAATATAAATATGTATATGCAAATTAGTTTCTTTTCAAATTATATTCAAAATTTTAAAACTCATAACATATATAAAATTTATATATATTGACTTGTTATTAAAAAAAACTTTCTAAAAACAAGTAAGAAAAAATTTGTGTTTTTCGTTTGAATATTTTTGTTTACAATAATATTTATATACTTGTAAGATTATATCAAATAAAAAAATTATACCTTTCTTAAAAAAATAAAAATATATATTATTGAATAATAAATTAAATAATAAGAGAAATATTAACATACTTTCCCTTTAGTAATTTTGACTAAATTATAATGCAAAATATGAAAAATGTTAGAAAACATGTGAAAAAAAAATGAAAAAAATATTATTTTTCATAAGAATAAAACTTTAATAACAATAAAATATATTTTGAAAAAAGGTTATAAACAAAAAAAAATGCAATAGTAATATAATATACTTCGAAAAAAAATTACTAAAAAAATATAAAATTGATGTATAACACATTACATTTGTAGTTTTAAATTTGTAAAAGAATTATTTAGTGGCAATTAAGATTAAATAGATAAATTTTAAATTAATTTTTTAAAATTTAAAATGGATATAATAAGTGATAAAGATAATATTAAAATTTTTGCATTTATTTGAACTACAAATTTGATAATTAGAAATTCAAATAAATATAATGCTTTTGATAATCTTATTATTTAAAAATTTAAGATGAAATTTTTTTAAATTTTCAAAATCTTATATAAAATTGCTTGAATTTTTAATGTCTTACGTAAATTTTTTTAAAAAGATAAAATTTTAAATTAAGATAAAAAAGATTGTTAAAAAATTTAGATAAACTTAAACTTTATAATTTTTAAGCATGCTTGAAAAATTTTGATAATTAAATAATTTTTTAAATAAGATTATTTGGTAAATAACTAAAATTATTTATTAAAAAATAAATTTAATATTTAATATTTTTAATTTTAAAAAACATATATTTAAATTAATTTAATTTTTAATTATAATTTAAATAATTTTGATATTTAATAAATTATAAAATTATCTAATTTGTAATAAACTAATTATCCTATTTGTCATTTAAAAAAATACTTACATGAAAACTTATTTATATATGTTTTATATATATATATAAAACAGATTTGAATCATGACATTTACCGATATATTAATAATGTCAGTCAAAACCGGTTTTAACACTTTGTTCCCTTGTTTGGCACAAACATAGTAAGTTACATTCGCAAATGAATATTTTTGTTTTTTTTTATTATACTATAATAGTAAACAGGGAATTGTACGACCAAAAAGCATTATGACAAGTGGCAGAAAATACTACTACACAGTACTATCGTTAAATAACAATTTCCTCAGGCATGGTTTGATATCGTTTTGGCTACGAAACAAACCATGTTCTTCATAAATTTAGGTCCTCGGATTGCAAATATAAAAGACAGCCTTGTCAAGTAAAATAAGTAAAACATAATCACTTCCACAGCTTCCGTAAGGACATGTTTTTCTCAGTCTCCTTCTTCATCACCTTCGCCACTGCCATCTCAAAATCTTCTTGTGTTACATGGACTCTCCTTTCCCTCAAAG